ATGAAAGTTGACATGTTAATGGACATCGAGCTTAAGAACTTGATTATAAACTTGGGTAAATTTTTGGGTCAAAGCTAAACACATAGTAATATGAGTGTTGTTAGTTTTGGAATCTTATTGTGGTCATTTATTTGAATAGATTGCTTTGATTTGGAAGTTCAATGAAAAGGGAAGACTTAACTCCCAGAGTGATTGTTCGACTATTTGAGGCAAGTGGATTTCTAAACCCTTGTTAAGTGTATGGAATTCATGTATTTCCTTGTAATATGTGTTTAGAGTTATGAGACTTGGTGATGGGTTGACTTGTCCACATTGATTAATTCTAATGATGAGAAAGGGATAATAAAAGGCAATGTGATCAATTGTTTGTGTGATGTGTTGAGAATTGTTTGAAAGGCTTGTTGAATCATTGTTGATGTTGTATCCTGATTGTGTTGTTGTGAATTGTGCAATGTTATGAAAATGGTCATCTCTTCATTATTTGTGTGAACATGTTATTTGCATTGTTCCGAGACATGGTTGTGACAAGTGTTATGTGCATTGAGAAAGAATAAGAAAATAAAGAGGATGTACCATTTCGAGGGACGTATCGCGCGCCGCGATGGATACTATATTTCGAGGGACGTGTCGCGCGCCGCGACGGATACTATATTTCGAGGGACGTATCGCGCGCCGCGATGGTTACTATTATCGAGGGTCGTATCGCGCGCCGCGATGGATGCATGGACAGATATGTCCCCCATGGGTCCCGGACTGAGAGACAGCGGGTGTGTATCATTAGGTCAGACATGCATCACTATACTTGACATTGCATTGCACTTCTTTATTATTGGTGAACTTGATCTTGTGTGTTGTTGATCTTGTGAGTGCCTTTCTATGTTGAGGATATGAAACTAATGTTGTTGTTGAGGATATGAAATTGTTAGAGTGTTGTGTTGAGCTATGTGTTTTGTAAACTTTGAACTGTTATGTTGGGCTGGTACTAAGCAGGTTGTAGTTGTGGAGGTGGTAATTGATGAACTTGTTGTTGAGAATATATGATTGTTAGAATGTCGTTGTTGAGATATGTGCTTGTAAATTGTGAACTGTTAGGTTGGGCTGGTTTTATACAGATTGTAGTTGTGAAGGTTCGGTTGGGGTGTAAGGAGTACTTGTATTCTATCCCCTTAGCTCGTGTTTAGAGGTTTACTTGCTGAGTACCGTGTGGTTTGGTACTCACCCCTTGCTTCTACAAATTTTTGTAGGTTACGAGCCTGGATTTTTGTGGTACTTGTCATTCTCTTCTTTTCCAAGGCTTCTGGGAGATTTGTGAGGTAGTTGTTTGTCTTCTCAGCGATCCTTCTTACTCCTGTTTATGATCTTGTTCTACTCTAGAAACAATGTCATATGAGACTTGTATTTTTCTTTTGATTCAATTGTAATACTTTAGAGGCTTGTACACGTGACAACCAGATTTTGGGGGTATATTTGAGTTTATTATAAAATTTCCGCATTTTATTGTAATGGTTGAGTTTTAGGCTGACTTGTCTTGGTGGGTTAAGACGAGTTCCATCACGTCCATTTTTGGGTCGTGACAGTATTATTTTTAAAAATTTTTTTATTTAGGATATGATATTTGTATTGAAGTTTGACTAAATTTGAATTCACGCATTATAAAGTCCATTTCTAAAAAGAACTCAAAATCTCTAATTAAGTGTAAAGAAATCTCAACTATCCTATTGCAACACATATTGTTATACTATTATTTGAAAATTATGAAGTAAGGACACATAATTATGACTAGTGAAGTCAGTGGCAATAATTATATATTTCATTGCATGGTTTTATTTAAATTTTTAAAAAAGGTATTCAAATTAAAATTATGATTTCCTTCAAAAGTCTTGCAAATTTTGCAGGATATAAGTTGTAAAAGAAGTTTTTTTTTACAACATCTTTGACTATTTTCTTTAATTTTTTATAGTAAAAACCTTTGACTAATTTTTTTTTTAAAAAAATTGTTTGACTATCAATGTCACAAAATGTAAAAGTTCAAGTTCGTATTTTTTTTCATCTCCAATATAATTTGCCTGCAGAATTATATTTACTAGTTAAAATATATATCTTATATTATTTTCTTATTATTATTTTAATAGACGATTATATAGTGTAGTGTTTTCTTAATTAAGTTTCACTCCCTATTTCCTTATTATTTATTATAAAAATACAACATAATTAGGTCATAGTATGTGAGCTGCGTATCGAACTAAAATACATACATTTTCCATTATAGTCATGAATATATATATATATATATATATATATATATATATATATATATATATATATATATATATATATTATTGTTTAATTTTGAAATTAATTAATACTTTGAAATCAAGAAAAATCCCCAACCTTCGACGTGTGAGAAGTTACTATTTCTTTAAAATATATACACCATAATAATTAAAATAACTAACTACAAACAATCAAAGAAGACCTTTTCTAGATTCTTCACCTTTTATTTGTTTAAACAATTTTTTCAAGAGTTTAATTAAGTTATATTATATATTATTGGTGTAACAAATTTTACACAAGTAAATACTGAATCAGAGTCAGAATTAAAAATTTATGAATTTATAATTTTAATTTTTTTGTCAAACTAGATATTTAAAATTAATAATTTATATATATTATAAATCTTAATATAAATATAGAATTTGAGCTAAAACTATTAGATTGTATCGACTCGTCTCCTATACCATAACTCCTCTTTTAATCACATCACCCAAAAGTCTTTTGTGTCTTAAATGTAATTTTTACAATCTCGAAAATAAGATGGATTATTTGTTATTATAACAAGTAAAGGTAAATTAATTATGTAAAAATTCCTTACACTGATTATATGTAACATAACTCATTATCTTAATATTAATTTGGGTCTTTTGTTACTTCATTTGTTATTTATATACCATATATTTTTAATCAGTTTTAAAAAATAACTTTTTTTATTTAATACATATTTAATAATATTATTAGTATTTTATTTATAATATATTTCACTTATTTGATAAAAAAATCTATAAAATGATAATTTTTTATTTAAAAATTTATTTATTATAAAGATAGTTTTGCGTATTATAAAATATGTTTATAATTCTTAAATTGTATACCCACTTAATTTTTAAAGAGAAAAAAGAATAAACTACCTTATATGAGTTATACCGACATGCTATTGCCATGATTCTAAGAATTTATATATTCTCTCCGTCCACTTTTATTTATCATGATTTTCTTTTTTTAGAGTCAAACGATAAGAACTTTGTCTAACATTTTACGATGTATTTTTCATCATATATATATGCAATTTATAGTACTTTTCGTATAGTGTTTGAATATCTAAATTTTTTATTAATCTAATTTAATTTTAAAAATTAATCAAATTAATTTTCGAAAAACAAGATAATTAAAAGTGATGGGAGGAAGTAGTTAATAATAAATTCATTTAATGTGGGTAAAGTCAAAATTCCTAATTGTGATAATGTCTAAATGTGAACACTGCCAATTATATTCAAGACAAGAATGGGTAAACTTTCATATTATAGTCTTTATTGGTACTTTTCTTTTGGTAGAAATCAACACATTATATAAAGAAAAATTACTATTTCCTTTTCAAATTACTTAACTTCATATTAAAAATAGTAATTTTAATTTCACTCTTAATACTAAATAATCAAATAAAATAATAATAATAGTAAAATTTAGAGTTCCACAATATCATACATAAAGTTAGTTTATAGTTGCACAATAATATGAAACGGAGGGAGTAAATGGTTCCTTAGAGATTTAATTTTATAGTTTTTTACCAACTTGTTTATAGTTTCTCTGTCAATTATTGATTTGACACAAAAATTAAGAAACAATAAATGATAGAGGTAATTTTATTCAATCGCTCTTATTATGTATAAGTCATTTAAATATTGAAAAATGAATACTATTTAATAGTAAAGGTAAAATAGATATAACATGGTAAATCATTTATTGGTTTTATAAACCGAAAAAATATTATTGAACATCATAAAATAATATAGTGGACAAATAAAGATTGACGAAGAGAGTAATAAAAAATAATTTCCTCCATTATTATTAACAGTTATGTGCATTTATTTTTTAAATAGAGTACTCTACATGATAGTATAAGAAAATGACCGTCATTGTATAGAAGTTAAACCCAATTAATGAAGTTAGTTAAATCCAATTAATGAAAATTAAACTATTATGCTCGTGTTGGTATCTGCTTAAATATTTTAATTTTAAATTTTTTAAATTATTAAATTCTAAATCAATAAATAATAATAAATACATATTTAATAATTTTTAAATTAAAATTACTGAGTTCGAATAGACCCGTAATGACCCCTCTTTCCTCTGCCCCCAGGGCACGGGCAGTGAGAAGTACAAGCTCATTTTGTGTTAAATTGTGCACTCATGTATATAATTCAAAACTCCAAATTAACATTCAAGAAATATATTTATTCTAATAAAGACGAACATAAATGAATTCAACGTCTATTATATATAAAATGCATAAAATATAATTTTACTAGTAACTTTTTTTCAAATCTTAGATGAACAATTCTTACTCTCACATGACCTGACTTATCTTTTGTTAATAACTTTTTCTCAAATCTTATATGTGTATATTCACTACATATTTATAAATATTTTATGACCTCAATTATTATCATATATTAACTTGAAATTATTTATATAAACTCATAAACTTTTTATCTTGAATCCGTTTTCACATTAACAAGTCATATTCTCATTCATTAAATTATTATTATAGAAATAGATAGACTAGTTAAAACAAGGGATTTTTCCAGCTAACAAACAAGAAAGAAAATTTTTAAAGAAAATGAAGTTTCCCATAGACCTTCCTATCAAGTCATTTTCTCAATTTAATTTCTTCTCTTCAAACTTAGATATATCTTTATATATACACATTAATAAAATAAAACTATAGTCTAAACTAACATTCACACATTCTTCTTCTCTCTATTTTCCCTCTTTAAAACCCCTTCATATCCTTCCAACACAAGTGTCCATCATTAGAAGTTTGCATCTCTAGCTATTTTGCGCGCACATCGAAGAAAGTGCCCTGCTAGTAAAATCGGTCCATTAAAAATTATTTCAATCAAGATCGAGCACGCTCGATCAAGAAAAAAAAAGATATGAGTAATAATAATATTGTGGAGAAGGCAATCAAGAGTTTAGGAAAAGGATTTGATTTAACATGTGATTTTAGACTAAAGTATTGTAAAGGAGATGAAAGGCTTGTGTTACTAAATGAAAATTTGAAGAAAGAGTTGATGGTGCCTGGTTTTGGAGCTTATGAAAATGTACCAATTGATATTAAGTGTGATAAAGGTGATAGAGTTCGATTTCAATCTGATATTCTTGATTTTAATCAGGTACTATAACTTTATTATTATTATTATTATTATTATTATTATTATTATTATATCAATCTCCTCTTTTTTTTTCTTTTTTGGTTTCGACCAAACGTGAGGGAGTTGCTCGGATGGTAAGTAGCCCTCACTTTCAGCTCGAAGGTCGTGAGTTAGACTCACTAAGGGTTGGGGGAACTCTTAAGGAAGGATAAAAAAAATGTTCTTTAAAGGTGTGTGTGGTTGGAATACAATAACGGCAACAATAAATTTTATCAGTATACTTTTATAAGTGGATATAGGAAAGATAGTACACAGACCTTATTCCCTATTTTCGTGAGATAGAAAGGATGTTAGGCGGTTTGGTTGGAATGAAAAAAATACTTGATCTTTTTGCCTACTTATTTATGGTTTTGATAAGTAAGCAGAAAATCAATTTAAGAGTATTTTTGTATAACTTGTTATAGTCAAAAGTACTATGGAAGTGGGGTGGAGCGAATGAAGTGGCATAGCCACGTAAACGAAAGGATGATCAGTTAAACAAACTTCATTAGAAAATTATATTACGCATATAGAAAATTTTCCTATATATATAGATAAAAGAAATTAAGTTTTAATATACTCACATGGTGTTAGGGGGTGAGAAAGAAACAATTTCTATGAAATTCCACTTGTTATACTTTGTTTCCTGACTTTTAAGGAATCTATTTTCTTACGGACCAATCAAACATGAAAAAAAATTTAAAATATTTTTCTTCGTACCAAATGTATTCTAATTATTTATAAAATGTTTTTTTTTTTGGAACAGATGTCTGAATATATAAATAGGAGAAGTTCAGTGCCTGGAAAAATACCATCTGGAATGTTTAATTCAATGTTTGGATTTGAGAGTGGTTCATGGGCTAATGATGCAGCAAATACAAAGTATTTGGGGCTTGATGGTTATTTCATCATATTATTTGATGTTCATATTGATAGATATTCACTTGTTTTGGATAATCAAGTTATTAATGATGTTCCTTCCACTTGGGATCCTGCTGCACTTGCAAGGTAATTAACATTTTCCCTTTATCTAGCGTTCGATATCTGCTTTGAGATTCTACAAATTATTTTTATGCCACATAAGATTCATTTAAAAAAGAAGTATCGAAAATGTCTCTAAACTCTGCGTGAATTGTTACTTCCATTTCTGAACTATTGACAGCCTTAGAAACATTCATTTACTTGACTAACTGAACTTAAATACACTCCCGATCTTGCAACATGAGTGAAATACACCCCCAAATTCTCGACAAGTTTATGAATGTTTTCAACACTTCACTCGACTTTTTATTCAGAGTCTCATGCTCCTCCAAGAGTTTGAGACAACTTGCTATGTCATGTTGCAGATCAGGGGTGTATCTAGGTTTAGTTAGTCAAGTACATGAGTGTTTTAAGGACTATCAATAGTTTGAGGATGAAACTAATAATTCGCGCCGAGTTTAAAAGTATTTTCAACACTTCTCTCTTCATTTAAAGCGGGAAATGCCCTATTATAGATTTATTTTTATTTTTTTTCATTTTAAGCATTCAAATTTGAGAACTCTAGCTAATGCTGAATGAAATTTATCCATTTACCCTTCATCGTAAGTAAAAGGGAAGATGGTTATCAAGGGGTGGCTAATCCGATAATATGATGTAACAATACAACTTTAACACAACACATGACAATATTACATGGTTTATAAGTTTATAATTCCTTAAATATGTGAAAAAATCACAAACATAAGGATTAAAAGTACATAATTTCAATTAATTAAAGGTGAAATAATTACTCAGATATCGTACAAACCAAACTTAGAATTTGTTCACATTGCAGGGACTAAAAGTATTAATTTTTCATTCAAAGAAAAATAAAATTATAGGAGTAACATTTTGGGATAGGTATATTATAAGTAATTGACTTTGGAATTAATTAAATAGTTCATAATTATTCCATTCCTCTGTTTTGACCAAGTCGACTAAAAATAACTCTGTTTCTTGATCTACACTTATTCCACAACAACAACAAAAAATGAATATTTTTATGTTATAATTATCATATCATAAAATATAAAATAAGAACTTGAAGAAAGAAAACTTGGCAATGGGGAGAATAAGTCTAACTATAGAATTCATAAAGTCAAATTGAATTCATTTTAAAGTCATTACGTTTTAAGAAGATTAGGTATACTATGGTGTAGAAAGATGACAATACACTTTATTTTTTTTCGTTTTTTCACTCAGTCTTCTATTTTAAGGTTCGACTAATTTAAATTCACATGAACAAATTTCACTCCATTTCGAGACTCGTACTCTATACATTTGATTAAGGATGAAAATGATACTAAGTTTCAGCTATGTACAGGTGTCGAGGAAGGGCTAGACCATAAAAGTCTATTGTATGCTGTCTTACCCTATATTTCTACCAGAGAATGTTTTCCCAACTTAAATCCCTGACCTCCTAATTACATGACAATAATTTTATTAGTTACGTTAAGACATCCTTTCTACTTAGTTATTAATGGAGTTGAGATTATCAAATTCTGAGGAGTCGATATCAATCAATATTTGATGTATATCTAATTGAATACTTCATTTTCATAAAAATAAATTAATTATTTGTTAATTGTGATAGGTTTATTGAAAAATATGGTACACACATAATAGTGGGGTTAAGTATAGGAGGACAAGATGTGGTCCTAGTGAGGCAAGACAAATTATCAAATATGGAACCATCACAACTCAAGAACCACTTGGATGAACTTGGTGATCAATTATTCACTGGCATTTGCAACTATTGTCCACAACAATTCAAATCAAGAGAACAAAAACATAAGGTCTTTTTCTTTTTCCTTTAATTTTCATAGTCCTATTTTTTTGGTTTCACACTCGATTTTTGATATTTGTAATGTAAAAGCATGACTAAGTTGGATTCTCATCCATTAAAGAGGGAAACACATTCTATCAGGATTTTCCCTTTACATAGGCCAATGCAATCCTCCGAACGGAAAGATCATTTCAAGATCTTTGAACATATTTGAGTGTTTAATGTTACTATTGTAACTTCAGTCAGGACTCAAACCTGAACTCCTTTGATTAATGATTGATGAATCCTATCCATCATGCTATAAACCTCGATTGTTTTTCCATAATCTTTCTCTAACCTATTAATATAAAAATGTGGAGAAGCTTCTTATAAGATTTCTTTTTTCCATGCCCAAAGCTAGAATCTGATAAGCAATATAATTAATTATTTATTTAACTTCAATTGAACTGATTTTTTTCCCTTTCTTTTTCATTTTTGTTTCTGAATTGCAGACTATTGAGGCATTCAATATTTTTGATCCACAACCCAACATCTTAAGCAGCTTTCCATCAGCAACAACCAAAAATGTAAGTTGATAATTGTATATGTTAATTTTCAATTTTATATTAAAAAATGCACCTAAATTTTCATTGTCCCTAAAAGTCAAATGTCTTCATTGTCTAAATACTGACTTCTAATCACCTAAATTTTCATTGTCCCTAAAAGATTAATTTCAACACTTAAAAGTACTTATCAGTACCTAATGCTTATCAATTATTTACGACTAATTAAAATTGTGGTGGAATGGTTAGGAATCCTTCTACATTTAATTAGAGGTCTCGACTTCGAACCTCTAGTAATAAAAAAAGATCTTGTTAGGAGTGGTGTTGCCCTCAGAAGTGGAACAAATAATGTGCAAATTCGAATTTAGTGAAGCTCCAATACGAATACCAGATCGAATTTAGTCATGAATTGTTAGGTCAATTTTCTTGCTTTGATTTGTATCATCATAAGCAGTCATAGGCCTACTTCTCCAGCTAATAGTGTAAACTTTTGACATTAGGAATCTTCCAATTAACATATAAATCCATCAAACATGGGAGATTCTTTGAATTTAACACACCAAAAAATTAGCAAAAATATAAAAAAGTCTAAAGATTTTCAAGTCAATATTAACAACTAGATCCCTAAAAATACTGAAAATAATTCAATGTGAAATAATTTTATATACATTCTAGCTGGAAGAATCAAGAAAAGCAAATTTGAGCTTTTGGTTGACCATCAATACAAAAAAAAGGATAATTTCATGTAGGAAACATCATGCGTTCACGTAAAATTCTAAAAAGAGTCACATTTAAGAAAGGTATGATGTAGACAATTTATATTATGACAGAACTAAATAGTGTCAAAGGGTTCCATCAGACACACTTCATCGAAAAATTATACTATGCAACTAGAGTAAAAATAATCTTTTTTGAATTTTGATTATATGTGAGTTGTTGAATCCTCTTGACATGAAGAAAAAAAATTCAAGTATAGTATTGATAAAGGAGATTCAAAATTGATTTATGTGATATGTTCAACCAATCTGCAATATTTTAGAAACTTCTAGTTCTGTCACTGAGTCTATCCTGGTGCAACAAGCATTAATGATAGATTTCATGACTCGAACTCTTGAATATCGAATCAGATAAAAATAACTTTACCGTTACTTCAAGGTTCTTCCGTACCGAAACTTAAAACACAATTTTACTAAAAGTTATAACAAAATAAAGATATTTCAAATTTTATTTTTTTTAAAAAAAGTTAAAATATTATAATAATTTTTTTTTCTATTGCAGGGTGTAACTGTGATATGCTCAAAAAGAGGTGGAGATTTAACAGCAAATACACATAGTGAATGGCTTCTAACAGTGCCTTCAATGCCAGATGCAATTGCCTTTAGCTTCATTCCTATTACTTCACTTCTCAAAGGTGTTCCTGGCAAAGGCTTTTTATCACATGCTATCAACCTTTATCTTAGATGTAAGTCAAAAAATATACTTTTTCTCTTTTTTATATAGTCTCAAATTTACAGCAACGATATAATTATCTTCGTGCAACTTATAAGTACGTATTCAAATCATAAAATCAGTTACTAAAACTTGCTGTCAGAGTTTATGAACTACCTACATCATTCATCCCTAGGGTGTTGTCCTTCTCCGGCCCTCGCACAAGTGTAGGACGCTTATGCATCAGATTGTCCTTTTTTATACAATAAAATGTAGTACTCTCAAAACTACACTAGCAATATAGCTATATTCTAGGTAACCTATAGGTTATGTACGACTTTGAATTGTTGAATCAGTCATTAATATTTATGTCAGGATAGATCGTCTACATCATATCCCTTAAGATACAACCTTTTTTCAGACTGGTTGAACATGGAATGCTTCGTTCACGGGATGTATTTTCTTATGTAGTCTAAAATTAATATTAGAGAGGATTGTTTCAAGATTATTTTTTTATAAATTTTAAAATAACATCCTTTTCCATATATTTTCTTGAATAAATGCCAAATTGACTTTAGCCACGTGGCGTTATGATAATTTAAACATTAAATAGTGGAGACAAATGTTAGTTGAAGTGTATTTATCATACAGATTGTATATATTTTTTATTTTTGAATAATTTAATGTATATTATTATATTAAATTAAAATAATGTATTGATTTGCAGATAAGCCACCCATAGCAGATTTGCAATATTTTCTGGATTTTCAAGCCCACAAGATTTGGGCCCCTATTCACAATGATCTTCCCTTAGGCCCAACTACAAATAGGTCCATTAGACCTCCAGCTCTTCAATTCAATTTGATGGGCCCAAAGCTATATGTAAACCCAACTCAGGTAAAAATTCCACCTTTTAACAAAAGTGCAAAAAATAAAGAAAGAATACACCTCTAATTAATACTCCCTTCGTTCTATTTTATGTGATGGTATCTGATTGGATGCGGAGTTTAAAGAAATTAAAGGGGCTTATTGTGACGTATAATTCAAATGTATGATAAGTTATGGTTGCTCGGACTCTTCAAACATGCTATCTCGCTTGTCAGATCTACCAAAAGTAATTTAGTTTTGGAGGATCCGACATGCACACGAAAGATCTTGAAGAGCTCGAGATACATAAATGAAAAGTTTTTTCTTCATTTTCGGAAAATATTTTTTTCTAGAAAACCTGTCAATATTTTTTCTTCCCCAGTTTCCACCCTTCAACACAACTCATCTCACACAACTTTTAACCCCCACCTCTCATAATATTTATCTAGATTATATACAAGTGTTTTAGTATACGTATAAAATATGAGAAACTAAGTAAGAAATTCACTTGTTCTCCTTAAAAAACAATTTTCATAAAAAAAAATATTTGTACCAAACACATCTTGAATTGTATTATGTCATGTCGGACGTGTGTGTCCACTTGTTCATCTTTATAAAAATTTAATCATCTACTTATACACACTCAAAGTTAAAGATCATAAATATCAGTTAAGAACAAGTTAAATAACACATTTATATATTACATATATATATTTGCTTTTAACTCTAGAAATCCAAATTAATTATGTTAATTATATCTTACTATATTATCAGGTAATTGTTGGGAAGACACCTGTAACTGGAATACGACTTTATCTTGAAGGAGTAAAGTGTGATAGGTAATTCCTTTTCCTAATCAAATATAATTGTCTTCGTTTCATTTTATGTGATTCGATCACTATTATTCGTAGAATTAAAAAATAATAATCTTAACCTAAATTAATAAAGATGGTGGTTGTTTCAGGCTGGCCATACATTTACAACACTTGATAAACACTCCAGTACTCCTACAAGACAAAATAGATGACCCGCTGACGTGGCGCGGGTCCGAAGACACACCCGACCATCGATATTTCGAAGCCATCCAATGGAAAAAATTCTCACACGTATGCACGGCTCCCATAAAGTACGACCCGAATTGGGCACCTTATGAGAGTGGCTTTAGTTTCATCGTAACGGGTGCTCAACTCCACGTTAAAAAACACGATACGAAGAGCGTCTTGCATCTCAGGTTGTTATATTCTAAAGTTTCTAACTCATGCATCGTGCAGTCTCAGTGGATGCAATGTGCCTCCGAGAGTTGCACGAAATCGTCATCAGGTTTTTTATCAGCTATTAGTGGTGCATCCTCGGTTCCCGGATTTTTATCCGAGAAACCGGTGGTGGTGGACTCGGGCGTGTACCCGACGGGCCCACCGGTGCCGGTGCATACCCAAAAGCTACTTAAATTTGTGGATACAACACAATTGTGTAGAGGCCCATTGGATAGTCCGGGGCATTGGTTGGTTACCGGGGCAAAATTGGATTTGGAAAGAGGGAAAATTTGCTTACGTGTTAAATTCTCCTTGCTAAATATATCTTCTTAATCTTTTTCGTCTAGTACTCGTTGTGGGACTCCAATTAATTTGGATTCGTACAAAAAATATATTTTGAAAGGTAAAGTGTTTTTTATCAAAGAGGACTTCATTCACAGAGCTGAAAGTTGAAATCTCCGACAAAGGATGGAGAGCTATATATTGATGGTAATGTTGTTTACTTCTTGAGAAGTCCCAAAAGGTGGGTTGTAATTAATTATTTTGAGAAATTGGCTTGTGCAATGTATATAAGTTATAATATGGGGTAAAATATAGAACTTACGTTTAATTCGAGAGTTATTTATTTTATTTATTTGTTTATTATTGGCAAATATAATAAGAAGGGAATAGGGGCATAGTAAAGTGTTTTTTTTAAAAATGTTGGTCATGAAATGTAAACTTGAGGAAATTTTCTCTCTTTGAAATAAAGATAATGAAGTTTTGATATATATATATATAACTTTTTTACTCTAAAGTTGTATTTGAGCAATATCAATATTTACCTTTGTTGTCTAGTTACAACTCGAAATTAAAGTACAAATTACAAGTAGTTGATACATTAGGATTAAGGGTTCAGTACATAGGTGTCATGGTGTTAGAGATTTTGGATTCAATGATAATTAACTAATCTCAAAAAAAATTTAACACTTTTTATTAATATACATATTCATTACGATTAAAAATTATTTTTGTTGGAGTGGTCGTTGAGTACCATATTTATAATGTCCTAATTTGGATCGTGACATATATAGTGGTACATTGTGTTATTGACTCATCGTAACATTTAAAATTGATTTGGCAAGTTGTATTATAATGTCATTTAATTATTGATTGGACAGTTGGATAATATTGTTATTGTGACATTTAAGATTTATTGGGCAATGTACTGTGGCATTGTGTCATTTGAATATTGATTATTGGACAGTTGAATTATATTATTGTGATATTTAAATATTGATTGGACATTTGAAATTTTGAATTATGGTATAGTCTATATATGCAGAGTTTTTGGCAAATTAAAGTGTAAGCAAAAACTAAGAAATCTTAAATTCCATAATGACAGAGTTTTTTCCCATGAAGAGTGCTGAAGGTGTATATAGCTACACCAAAAATTCCTCATCCCAGGTAATATTTATAGTATTGCTTTATTGAATTCGCTTTATTAATAGTCTCACGCTTCGACTTTGAACATAATAGACTAGTATCAAGAATGATTTTTAAACTAAACAGAAAAGTGTGCCACATAAATTGAGATACATGAAGTAATTATATTTTGAGCTATATTAGATAATTGTTGAACATATTTGAATACCTTTAACGAAATTTCTTAGTTTGCCATTACAGTATGATTATGATTATGACCTTAGCTTCGATTTCAATGGTTGACTTTTCAAACAATATTTTTTTTTTGTAGAGAAAAATTGCAGATAATGCAAAATTGATGATGAGAGAGGCAATTATTGAAAATCTTGATGTACAAACCAAAACATTTCTTATTGTAGACATGGGATGTTCAATTGGACCAAACACATTGTTTGCAATGCAAAATATTGTAGAAGCTATAAAAGATAAGTACCATTCTAAATTATCACTCGATTCTACAAGTCCTGAAATCGAATTTCATGTTTTCTTCAACGATCATGTCACAAACGATTTCAATATCCTATTCAAATCACTATTTTCCGATCAAAAACCATATTTTGCATCTGCAATTCCTGGTTCTTTCTATGGACGATTATTCCCCTTGTCCTCTCTTCATATCGCGTATTCTTGTTGCGCGGTAAATTGGTAATCCCAGGCTCCAAAGGAGTTGATATATATGAAGAATAAAGGAAGAATTCATTATGATGGTGCTTCTATTGAATGCATATGTTGCTCAATTTCACAAAGATATGGGAGTATTCTTGAGTGCAAGGGCAATGGAAATTGTTCCTGGAGGTTTAATTGTTCTTATTTTGCCAGCTATTCCAAGTGATATACCATACTCCAAAATTGGATATAAGATATTCACATTTCTTGAGTCTAGTCTTATTGATATGGTCAATGAGGTGAGTCACTCATAACCTTATACTCTCTTTATTTCAATTTATGTGTCATGCTTTTCTGTCTAACTTGTAGTCATAACATCTAATAACAAGGCATATTTAAGCATAATACATAAATATGTCATTTAATTTGGCTTCAACTGATATTTATGCCCTCTAATTTTTAGTGTGCACAAGTAGACACTTAAAACTTGTATAAAATTGAACAAATAGACACATTCGTCTTACGTGTCATCGTACATGACAATTTTGTGTCCTATGTGAATTCCTACATGTATTATGGTGTGTGTCTACTCGTGCACACCCAAATTTGAAGGCATAAATGATAGCTGAAGCCAAGTTAAATGACATATTTATGTATTATCCGACATATTTAAGATCATAAGATGAAATTTTAGTACATTACACTTTTAAGATCATGAGATTTAAAAGTCTCTCTTACTTTCGTAAACTCCTTAAATAAAACGAAGGGAGTCTATGATTAATATCTTGGATCTAGGCTTCATATCTCATATCCTATTTCTTGGATCTTCTGAACAATTACGGAGTCAAGAATCTTAATAAGGGAATTCAAAAAATTGCAAATTCAATAAGGGGATTCAATTGAATCCTCTTCACCACATTTAACTCTGTCAATGCTTCAGTTGCATTTTATGTGACACGTTCCCTTTTTTTCCATACAGGGAATTATAGAAGAATCTCTGGTTGACTCATTCAATTTGCCAATATATTTTCCCTCTATTGAAGACATGACTAAAGTGGTGGAGAAAAATGGATATTTTAGCATAAAGAGAATGGAGCTAACAAATCCTCAATCTAACATTGATGCAAAGAGTTGCATAAGTCACCTTAGAGCTAGTTTAGAAGGAACATTCACCAAACATTTTGGAAGTAAAATTGCAAATGAAATGTTTGAGAGGACTTTGGGAAAAATAGAAGAGATTTCTGCATGGTTGGAAGATGAATATTACAAGACTTCAAGACAATTGTTGATAGTTTTGAAATGTAAAATCAACTCGTAACGCGTTCCATCTTTATCTTGTCTCTTAGGCACCAATGACCTATTTTGTATCTATGACTATTAATTGATACAAATAAGTTTGGCTTTAGACAACTAATTTTATTAAACCATTCGTTATTGCATGCTTTTTCATTAAAGCGTCTATGAGAGAGTTAGGAGACGAGCCGGTTGCCGAAGTGGTGAAAGGGGAGAGATGAGAGTAGTGTTTTCCCAATAGGTTAGGTTAGGTTAGCTGCCTCTGGAGTTCCTGATCTAAAAGGTCACCAACAAGCTGCTACTGAATGTGAACAAAGTCTCAATGAGAAAAAGTTGAAGGCAGATGCGAATCTAAAATTGAAAATTTATGAATACCTATCATCACCTTAGATTAATTAAAAAATAATAATTTATTGAATTCCGGTGATCACCATGCTAACAAACCAATAAAGAAATGAGGCATATATGGCTAATTTTCCATCCACTTGTCTAACTTACGTGACAATTTAAGATGGTCACCATAAATTGACAAATATTCTAATTATTGATAATTATGAGAATAAGGATAAAAATAAGGGGTTGGGGAAGAGGGTGGATCGATAAATCTTATTTTGATTTTCTAAAGGAAAAATAATTACCTTACTCACATATTACAAGAATTAAAATAGGAATAACGCCATAATACATGAATTAAAAAATGCTACTACTTGACCATTAAATAATAATCCTACCATAAACTAAATTAAATAATCGTCAACTCTATCTTAAAGTTTTTTTAATTCTATACGTCTCCGTTGGGAAAAACGCGAACAAGCACAAAATATATATGGTAAAAGTAATGGAAATAAAATGGGAAAATAATGACACCAAAAATTTTACGTGGAAACCCTTCTAAATAAGGGAAAAAACACGGGCCAAGAGGAGCAACTGATATCACTATAGTAAGGAATTTTACACTGTGTAGTCACGAATACAATACTCAAAGTGACTACTACACACTCAAAAGGAATAACACTCTTTTGATTTCCACCTTACTAAACTAAAATATCGCTCACACTCTATTTTTCTTCACAGACTATTTTTCTTGTATAGTCTATGAAAACCTCACAGCTCTCTATATATTTTACTTCTCTGTGAATTGGTGTATCAAATGAGGAGCTGAAGAGCTCCTTTTATAGATGCAATTGCATTGCACTATTCAAAAATCATGCCACCAAAAAATTTGTATTGCTGCAAACTTTGTTAACAAAAGAAAAAGTTTGCAGCTATTGTTGACAAACAAATTCAGCTGTATTTTCTTTACAACAATTGCAGGCAATTGTTGACCCAAAAAAAAAATTCATGGGATGGACCCCACAGTCTCCTTCCTACCCCATCCACATTTAATTTATTTATATGAGAGAAGATCAAGGCTATTATGACCAAGAATTGAGGGGAAAGAGACAATTAGTCAAAATGCCATCATCTTTCCCTATGAATAGCGGTGATGCTGTTTATAGCTACTCCAAAAACTCCCAAATACAGGTATTTTTCTTGCACTATTTTTGAATCTCAATCTATAAACAAATTGTTTTTTGAAATTTACAACGGACTATTAGCTTAGTGGTTCCTGATACTTGCGTTGTTGTCCATGTATGGGTTGTTAGGGCTTCTCAGGAGGACATATAGCGTGATATCGTGAAATTTAATTGAGTCTCTCTCTTCTTGAGAGTTCATACATCCTTTATCAGCATATGGCATATATGATAATTATTGACAATATGAGGGTAGTTTAGTCATTAGCCTAATGTTGGGCTAATTTGTGATAATTGTGGGTACAAATAGGGATGGATGGCAATGGGCGATTGCCGGCAGAGGCGGAGCTAGGTGGGGGTGGGTTTGGACGAACCCGATAGCTTTTTCGTAGACTCTATATTTGTATTAGAAAATTAATTAAATATATTTATATATTAATTTGTGAACTCCTAACGAAATTAATTGACAATTATTAAAGAAATTTAGACCTTCCAAACTCTTAATCCTGACTCCGCCTCTGATTGCCGGTGTAGAGCAGGTTAAGACTAAATCAATAAAATCTTAACCCATCCCATATAAAAAAAAATTCTAAACTTTTATTCATGTTCTCTTCATCGTTATCTTCCTAATATACTGAATAAATAATATAGTGACATGAAATAATTATCAAATGATTAAAAATTAAGATAGTTTCTTAAAAGAAGTTATCTTCATCGTTAATTAAGGCTTTTAACATTGTAATCATCGACACATGCATTTTGTAATCCCTTCGATCTATTTTAATTGTCATTTTTTTTATATGTCTCTTAAAAAACATAAATTATAATGACTACTTCACTAAAATTATCCTCTCTTTTTTAAAATCTTATAACAATTTAATACTTACTATTTTTTATTTCATCATATTAATTTCTCTCCGTATTTATTAGAATAAGGATAAAAATAAGGGGTGGGGGATGAGGGTGGACGATAAATCTTATTTTGATTTTCTAAAGGAAAAATAATATCCTTACTCACATATTACAAGTAGGGATGTTCATGGTTATGGTTAAAATTCAAATCGAACCGTAATTCGAATCAAACCGATTAAAAAAAATCGATATTAGGTTTGATTTTACATTTTGAAAAACCGATACTATTTGGTTTGGTTTTACTAAAAAATAACTGCAAAAATAACCAAATCAAACCGATAAATTAGATATATAAATTTTATAATTATTTATATATTATTCATAAATAAAATATAAATATTTTATTAAATTTTAAGTAACTTAAGTCTTTAACTTTATTTCTCAAGCCCAATAGTAAATTTTAGTCCATCTATTACTATCATAAGTCCAAGTTCATCAAAATTCATTACTTTAGTCTTTACCTACCATACATTTCATAAGAGAGTTACACCTTCTCTTAATTGAATCACTTTGTTCGTGTAATGATAAATTTAGTATTATTTAATTGCTTAATTGAACCAACAATAGCTTTTCAGTGGATTGTTCATGTACTAATACGTATGTCCTAAAAAATTTATTACTTTCAAACTGAAAAAATCAGAAAAACTTAGCCAAACCGAACCAAACCGTCAATAACCAAACCGACGATTATTTTTTTCGTTTGGTTTGGTTTGGTTTTAGAAATTTAAAAAACCAACTAGATTGATTGGTTTTAGTTTTAACCAATAACCGATCCAAACCAAACCACGAACCCCTAATTACAAGAACTAAAATAGGAATAACGCGACAATACATAGAATTAAAAATGCTACTACTTGACCATTAAATAATAATTCTACCATAAACTAAATTAAAAATGAAATTTTTTAAAAAAATATATCATTTTTGGGAATCCCTCTATCAACCAAAAATAATTAAGTCAACTCTGTCTTAGAGTTTTTTTAAAAAAAAATTCTATATGTCTCCTTCCTACCCCCATCCACATTTAATTTATATAAGAGAAGATCAAGGCTATTATGACCAAGAATTGAGGGTAAAGAGACAATTAGTCAAAATGCCAACATCTTTCCCTATGAATAGTGGTGATGCTGTTTATAGCTACTCCAAAAACTCCCAAATACAAGTATTTTCTTGCACTATTTTTGAATCTCAATCGCTTATAAACAAATTACTTTTTGAAATTTACGACGGACTATTATCTTAGTGGTCCCTGATAATTGTGTTGTTGTCCATGTATGGGTTGTTAGGACTTCTCAGGAGGACATATAGAGTGATATCGTGAAATTTAATTAAGTCTCTTCTTGAGAGTTCATACATCCTTTATCAGCATATGTTAAATTAAGTCGAGTTAAAATATTCAAAACATTTTAATTTCAAATCGGAGATCCTAATAAAGTCTTGATTAGATAGAAAATATCGATTTTCAAAGGTTGGAGAACTAATTATGCATGTGATAAAAACATCAAAATTCTTGGTGAATGTATATCTACATATATTTTATGACTCATAAAGATCATATGTATGTATTTGTAGAGAGAAGTGTTAGATGGTGCAAAGGAGATGATGAAAGAAGCAATTATTGAAAATCTTGACATAAAAAACATGTTATCTTCTTCAAACAAATTTTATATTACAGACTTGGGATGTTCGATTGGACCAAACACATTCAACTCAATGCAACATATTGTACAAGTTGTAAAGGACAAGTACCATGATAACATTCTTGAATTCCAAGTATTTTTCAATGATCATGTAAACAATGATTTCAACACCCTCTTTCGATCACTACCTGTTGATCGATCCTACTATGCATCTGGGGTTCCAGGATCTTTTCATGGTAGATTATTTCCATCACGATCAATACATTTTGCACATTCTTCTTGTGCTATACATTGGTTATCTAAGTGTCCAAAAGAATTATTAGATGACAAATCCCTAGCATGGAATAAGGGATTAATTCACTATGTAGGTGCTTCAAATGTTGAAGTAGTGAATGCTTATGTGGCTCAATTTGAAAAGGACATGGAAATGTTCTTCAATGCAAGAGCTGAGGAAATTGTTCCTGGAGGAATGATGGTGCTTCTTTCACCATTTTCGGGTTATCGTTACCTCAAATTTTTTGGCTCTACTCTTAAGGATTTGGTAAATGAGGTAAGATAATGAACTTCAGTTATGCCAATGCTTCAGTCTCATTTTATGTGACACGTTTTTCTTTTATCATACATTGAGAACTAATCTTCTTCTTTTTTTGACATATAGGGAATGATAGATGAATCTCTAGTGGACTCATTCAATGTGCCAGTGTATTTCCCCTCTATTGAAGACATGACTAAAGTGGTGGAGAAAAATGATTTTTTTAGCATTGAGAAAATAGAACTAACATATCCCAAATCAAAACTTGTGGATGAGGCTGATGCAAAGACTTTAATCATAAACCTAACAGCTGTTTTACAAAAACTTTTCATCAATCATTTTGGGAATAAAATAACAGAAGAAATATTTACAAGGACTATACTCAAAAGTGAAGAGATTTCAACATGGATGAAAATAAATTGCGAAAAAGCATGTCAATTATTTGTCGCTTTAAAGCGTAAATAATTCTTTGTTAGGAAATTATTATATAATAAACAAGGTCTATGGAGATCGACATGACATGCATATCTCATAGGCCAAGTTTCTTATGTAATAAACAAGGTCTATGGAGATCTACTTATTGAGTGAAAAGATGCCTCTTGGTTGCAAAAGAGCAAAATTAGAATTGTTTCACCTTATGTAATGAAGAATTTGGAGTGTTTGTAAAATTGTTCTTTTCTATTATTTTTTATGTATTAATTTGTTTGGCTTGATTCAGAATATAAGGATCAAATTAATTAATATTTGATCTAAATTTATAATAAAAAAATAATTTATTTGATTGTTCAAATAAAAACTAAGAGAAACAAATTGAAACAAGGGAGTACCTCTTTAGAAACATATAGACATCCAGTAGATAATATATGAACTTTTAAAACGACAAATAATTTGAAATAACTATTTTAAAAATCATGACAGACAATTTAAGACGAAGAAAATAATCATTATCCAAGAAGAGTTAGAGAGGGAGGCTAGTTAAGATAATCAATGAAGAGACTTTTCAATTTTCTTTATTAGAGTAATATAAGATAATAAAAGATACATAAGAAACTTGGCCTATGGGATGTGCATATCTTATCGATCTCCATAGGCCTTAATTATATAATATATATATATATATATATATAAATAGATAAACTTCTTAATTACGTTTTAAAGCGATAAATAGTTGACATGCCTTGTAATTCGCTTTCATCCATGTTGAAATCTCTTTATTTTTTAAAATAGTCCTTGTAAAAGCTTCTTCTGCTATTTTACTCCCAAAATGATTGATGACAAGTCCTTCTAAGATAGCTCTAAGGTTTATGATAAAAGTATTTGCATCAGCTTCATCCACAAGCTTTGATTGAGGATATGTTAACTCTACATTCTCAATGCTAAAACATCCATTTTTCTCCACCACTTTCGTTATGTCATCAGGAGAAGGAAGATAAATTGGCACATTGAATGAGTCAACTAGAGATTCATCTAACATTCCCTATATTTAAGTCAAAAAGAAAGAAAAAAGATCAATTATTATAAATGTACGACAAAATAGTGTATTACATAAATTGAGACAAAAATTATACTTATTTCATTTCATTTTATATGATAATATTAACTAAATATAATATTTTAAAATGAATTCAGAATTTGAACTTTCTATAATATATATATATATATATACGACATTTGCCTTTATGTATACATGTCAAAAGTATACTTTGAACTTATTTCATTACATGTTTCGTGATTTTTATATGATTATGAGAGCATGAGGGTGTAAAATGAGAAGTTTAATTAAGTTAATTAAGGAGTCTACAAGTAATAATGTATCAATTTTTTTAAATCTTTTTTTCCTTTTAAATAAACTAAAAAGGGAAAAAATATCATGTGAAATGAAAGAGTTAAAGGTAATTAAACTATAACGAATAAAGCATTTTGCAGCAATAATATATATATATATATATATATTTGTCGCAATATTTTATTTAGCGGCAATAATAAATATGGGTACTTATAACAAATACTCTATACAAATATTGCTAAAAGCTTTAATGACTCTAGATAGAATGTCATTAACTCAATTGCCGCTAAATATTTCGCTAAAAGAAAAATTTATTGTCATTAAATGTCTCTTTTGTTGTTGTTCCAGTATTATCTTTAAATTAAAGTACAAATTTCATATATATATTTTAAGAAAACTTACCTATAGTATCCTATAGGTAGAGAAGGATCATGATTTTAAATTTATGAGTTCTAAATTCTAAAACATAATAACAAGTAGCTAGATTCAGAATAAATTATTTATACATATTAAATGAATTTCTTAATACAAATATAATAATTGAGCCAAAGCTACTAAATTTTTCTGAACCCATAACTATAATGCTAGATTCGCCTTTGACTTTAGGTGACCTCATAGTTCAAAAAAAAGTATATTGACGATGTATATAACTTAAGTTCAAATGAAATAAAGGATGTGACGACACAATTACTTACCTCATTCACCAAATCCATCAGACTAGAGCCAAGAAAATTGAGAGAATCCCACCCTGAAAATGGTGAAATTAGCACCATCATTCCTCCTTGAACAATCTCCTCAGCTCTTGCATTAAAGAACATTTCCATGTCCTTTTCAAATTGAGCAACATAAGCATTCATTATTTCAACATTTGATGCACCAGCATAGTGAATCAATCCCTTATTCCATGCTGAGGAATTTGTATCTAACAACTCTTTTGGAATCTTAGATAACCAATGTATAGCACAAGAACAATGAGCAAAATGTATCGATCGTGATGGAAATAATCTACCATGGAAAGATCCTGGAACTCCAGATGCATAGTAGGATCGATCAACAGGTAGTGAACGAAAAAGGGTGTTGAAATCATTAGTGACATGATCATTGAAAAATACTTGAAATTCAAGATTGTTATCATGGTACTTGTCCTTTACAACATGTTGCTTTGAAGTGAAAGTGTTTGATCCAATTGAACATCCCAAATCTGTAATATGAAATTTATTTGAAGAAGATACTATGCCTTTGATGTCAAGATTTTTAATAATTGCTTCTTTCATCATCTCCTTTGCACCATCTAATATTTCTCTCTACAAAACACACATATATATCTTCATAAGTCATAACATATATGAACATATACATTTGACCAAGAAATTTTATCATATGCATAACTAATTCTCTACCTCTAGAGGTCGATTTTCACTATCAATCGTGATCTCCTATTTGAGGTATGAAAAAAAAAAAAAAACCAACCTCCTAGAATCATTTTTCTAGATCAATTTTCATTATTTATTTTTTAAAATAGTGCACTAGACAACAATTACGACTTCTAATTAACTAAGGTCAACATTGAATATTTCAATTTGACTTAATCTGACATCTATACATATATTGATAAGAGATGTATGAACTCTCGAGAAGAGAGGAGTCATGGTAGTCCTTTGAGACCACTTGGATCCCACTATTATATATAAGTTGAATAAATCTATATTAGATCTCATTGAATCACCCTATATTTGTCCTCCTAAGGAGCCTAACAACCCAAACATGTACAATAACGCAATAATCAGAAGACACGCTCTACCACTAAGCTAATAATCCGTTGAGCAAACCTCTAATAAGTTCCTATATGTTTATAACTGATTGAGATGAGATTCAAAAATGGTGTAAGAGATATACCTGTATTTGGGAGTTTCTCGAGTAGCTGTAAACAGCATCACCATTATTCATGGGGAAAAATGTTGACATTTTGACTATTTGTCTTCTTTTTTTTCCCTCAATTTTTTTTTCTAATAATCGTCTTCTTCTTCTAATGTCTATAGGATACATATAAATTTTATATAGATAGTATAGTCATGTCAAAGAAACAATAATTGCATGAATACTTACGTAATGATATAAAAAGGAATGTCGGTTCAAAACTTATCAAATCTTATCTAATACATGTTACTTTTTTGTTACAATGTGACATAATTAAAATTTGGAGAATTATTTAAGAAATTATAATATTTAAAAAATTATATAATACATATTATAATTATTAGTACAATAAATAGACGGTCAATAAAAAATAATTAATTTCTGCAGGTGTTTTTTTTGGTTTTTTGTATGATCTGGCAGTTAGGAATTTAGTATAATGATTTTTTAAAAAAAAAAAGAGATTTCATGAATACTGTTTTTTGAAAATAACTAATTTTACGGAATTTTAAATTTCATAGATCATGGACGTCCGTTACGATCTTATTAATGGCGTGAGTTGGTCCCGAGGGGCAAACAAACACATTTTCAGGTTCAAACGAACCCCAAAGCGGGAAAAATCAAATTTATTGATTTTCGTGTGTATTAGTCCATGGATTTGGCGCCTTTGGGCACCAAATTTTTTTTCTGAAAAAAACTATATGAGGACCTCCATAATGAATAAGGGAAGCAATGCCTACAATCCCGCCATTTTTTACGCATATTTTCGCATTTACGAGCCAACTTTTAGAAATTACCCAACTTTCACCTTTTTCGTGTGTGTTATAGCCTATGGATCTGGCGCCTATGGGCACCCAAAAAAAATTCTATATAAGGACCTCCATAGTGAGTTAGGGAAGCATTGCGCATAGTCCCACCATTTTTTTCACACATACTTTCGCATTTACAAGTCAACTTTTTAGAATTATCCAACGTTCGTCGTTTTTCGTGTGTATAAGCACATGGATCTGGCGCCTTTGGGTCCACTGAATTTTTTTTCTGAAAAAACTATATGAGGACCTCTGTAATGAGTTGGAGAAGCATTACGTATAGTCTCGCCATTTTTTCATGCATATTTTCGCATTTACGAGCCAATTTTTAGAAATTACCCGACTTTCACCGTTTTTCGTGTGTTTTAGCCCATGGATCTGGCGCCTTTGGGGCACCCAAATTTTTTTTTTGAAAAAATTATATGAGGACCTCTGTAATGAGTTGTGGAAGCATTACATATAGTCTCTCCATTTTTTTCATGCATATTTTCGCATTTATGAGTCAACTTTTAGAAATTACCCGACTTTCACTGTTTTTCATGTGTATTAGCCCATAAATCATGCGCTTTTGAACACAATTATTTTCTCAAAAATCTATATGATATTTCATAATCGAGCTAGAAAAACACTAAGTGAATGTTACCCTAATGAAATAACACATAGTTTAATTTAGTATAGCATTGATTCCCGACGTACGAGACTTCATGATAGGGATGTACAAAATCAAACCAAACCGCAAATCGAGTTAAACCGGAAAAAAAATCGACTAGTGGTTTAGTTTGACTTGGTTTGGTATTGAAAAAAAAAACCGACTATATTTGAGTTGGTTTGGTTTTAACTTAAAAAAACCAACCCGAGACCAAGCCAACCCGACATTATATATGTAATTTTAAAATTTTATTTTATACATAAAAATATTTACTTTGATATAATTTTAAAATATTTCTTATACTATTTCATAGTTTTTTATCTTTTAATAAATTATTTCAAGTTTAAAACTTAGAATTCGGAATGGTCCAATAAAGATTATAGTTCATAGACGATGTTGATAATTATAATAAAACTTAAATCAAAATCAAATTAATACTAATGCAAAAAGAAAATCAATTCAACTCTAAGAATGACAATAATATTGAATATTTGTTCTTTAGTTTTACATTGGTTTAGACAATTAAAATATATAATCTAATTTTAATTTTCCTTAAATATTTAGTAATGTAACTAATACTTATTAAACTTATTTTAGCATGATTTAGTACTTTTAAATTATGATCATTTTCATTATAATTTTGCAATATTTATTTTATATGATGATTTCATTATTATTTTTTATTGAATATTTTAGTGTCATCAGTACTCATCTCATATTTTGTGTTATTTTCTTAAGAAACACCTTAGATAATTATATTTTGGTTGGACTAAAGAAATATTTGGAGCACAAGTTAATTATATGTTTGTATGCAAACTTTACCGAAAAAATCCTAGGTTTATTAGTTTGGTTTGATTTATAAATTTAAAAATTCGACACAATGGTTTGGTTTGGTATTTGAAAAACCCGAACCAACCCAAGGTTGAAAAACCCGAAAAAAATTGAATTTTATTAGTTTGGTTTGGTTTATAAATTTAATATTTTTACACAAATGGTTTAATTTGATATTTGAAAAACCCGAACCAATCCGGTCATGTACACCCCTACTTCATGATTAATGACTATTTGAAAAATAATTATTTTTAAATTTTATCTATTTCATAATGATGATATTATGACCCGTCATTTAAGACGTTTAGTTGGACTCAAAATAATCTTAATACTAATGCTATTCGTTTTCAAATCAAGTTTACACGATTTTCCTAAAAAGATCTTTCGATATTAAAAAAACTTATACACAAGTAGCTTCTTATTTTTATCAATTTTTAAGCCTAACATTATGCCTTTCTTTCATCCCTAAATATACCATTCACATATGTCCAACTTGTCTTAGCTAGCAAATTTGTCTTTTAATGTGATATATATATATATCCTAATGAAATAAATTATTAGAAAGTTTATTTGTCTTTTTTCTACTTATTTACAACTATATATATATATATATATATATATATATATATATATATATATATATATATATATATATATATAAGTTTAATTAATTAGAACTTCAAATCTGTTAACATTCAAAAAAAAATTAAGAGAGAAAGTGGAAGAATAGATTTTTAAAAATACCAAAATCTTTACCTATGAATGGTGGTAATGGTGTTTACAGCTATAGCAAAAGCTCCCAATTACAGGTACTTAGAATTCAATATTTATTGAAATTTTAATATTTGGTGAATTTTAGTGATTTATAACATAAATATTTATACTATATATTAAAAATGTTAAGTTTAGTTGAACATTGTGAATTCATTCTTCATTTGTTGAGATGTATATCAAATAAATGAAAATGTGTTTTCTCTAAACAAGGGTTGTTTGTTTTGAAGATAAGTATATGTTGGAATTAGTTATGTTAAGATTAGTTATTATAGTATTATTTTTTATTGATTGTTTAGTTAATTTGTTATATTAAAAACAACATGCATTGCATAATTTCTATGAAGTTAATGTTTACAAAAATACCATCTACCATATTTAGTGGAAAAAAGGTTTGAGGGACCTCAAGAGTGTTTTTATCATTTGAATGATTTTATTTCTGAATAACTAATTCCGGTGTTATTATTCCAACCTCTGACAGGAATAACTTATTCTAGTACTTTTTTTTTCTTAACCGGATAATATTATTAGCGAAGAAGCTTAAGTAACATTACAAAATAAGAGAATAGTACATTGTAGCATTGGTTGCTATCAAATACTATTATGAGTCAAAATTTTCATTGTAAATGTGTAGTTCCTAGTATATCTGTCTAAATTACCTCATTTGCGAACATCGGAGGAACTGACAAAATCCTTATGCAATCAAATAATTGCTTCTATGCGAGAGTTTTGAATCTATCAATTGTTGTCCATGATTAGTAACAAAAAAATGGGATACACAATACTAATTTTTATCCCAGAACATCTATGCCCGGACAATAAAATGATCACACACTTAAATAGGACAAACAAACAAGCCAAAAACTTAAACATACTATTAACATGGATTTAGGAAAATCATTTGATTATATGTATCATTAAGAGACTTCCAATTTTTATTTTATTTTTTGTAATTATGAAATTGAAGCATTTTACTTATCATTTCTACTTTGCAGAAAGAAGGCTCAGATGTTATGATGGGAATGATTAAAGATGCAATTACTGAAAAAATGGATATCAAAAGCCTATTATCTAATAATTCAAATATTGCATCATTTCATATTGTTGACTTTGGATGTTCGATTGGACCAAACACTTTCTTAGCAATGCAACATATTATCGAAACAATAACACATAAACACCAAACTCAACATAAAAACAATCAAATTAGTCCTGAATTTCAAGTATTCCTCAATGATCATGTTACAAATGACTTCAATACTCTATTTAAAGTCTTACCTCTTGAAAGGCGATATTTCACGTCAGGAGTTCCCGGCTCTTTCTATGGACATTTGTTCCCCTCAAATTCAATCCATTTCGCGTACTCATCTTATTCACTCCAATGGCTATCTAAGACGCCAAAGGAGTTGATGGATGAGAAATCACGCTCGTGGAATACGGGGAAAATTCATTGTATAGGTGCCTCAGAGGATGTAACAAGTGTCTATATCGCGCAATTTGAGAAGGACATGGAAATGTTCTTGAATGCAAGAGGCCAAGAGCTAAAGAGATTGTGGAAAATGGAATGATTGTGATGATTTTACCAGGAATTTATAGTCTTATTGTTAGATAATGTCCTCAAGTTCTTTGAATCTAGTCTTATTGATATGATCAATGAGGTAAGGCAATGGACTATCTACTTTTTTATTTGTTATAACAGTAAAGTTATATATAAAAATATTTTTTATACATATATTTAAGTAACTTATCTATGTGTGCATTCCTAAGAAAATAGAAATGATTGGAAGGCCAAATTTCTAGCATCGTTCAAGACTTATTATTTCTTCTGTCCTATTTTAAGTGTCCTTTTAACCCTCAAGAAAATGTCTTTAGAGAATGAAGGCAAAATTTTATTTTGTTTTATTAATTAAAGAGGTCAAAAGTGATAAACAATACTCACGTTTTTCATTATACTATCATTTACTAATCAAGAAATAAATAAGGGTAGTTCA